AGAGGAAAATCGCACTAGAAATCGCAACAAAAATTGCAAGTGTAAACAGGCCTTAACATGTTGTTACATTCGAGAGGTCGCTTTTTGGCGGGTTATTACACTGAAAGGTCAGGTGTCTGAAATCCATAATTTTCTGGAGTTTTTTTTGTTTTCTTCGTCGTTGAGAAATCGAGTTTCCGTTAGCGCATCACAGACTCAGTTTCAAGTGTTGCAGTCATTCCAATTTATTATATACAGGTCAATGAGTGAGTTCAGTCTTTAACAATTTGAATTCTTTATTTTGTCAACGAATTTTACCGCGTTTGTCTGTGGATTTTGTATTTATCCTACTCTGCATTTTCGTGGAAGTTGACTTGGTGTTTTTTCGTGCAACATAGACTGGAAATGCGAGATCTGAATCGCCGAGTTTTTCGAATTTTATACGTTACGGTCGGACTTACGGAATGTAAACAATGTTGTCTGCGTTAGCGCATTTAATGTTCAGATACCATGTGCATTTATGGATAACGTTTGTATTTGTGAGTGATACTTGTGTTTATTGGACATTACGAAAACATCTCAGGATAACTTAGGATAATTTTCCGTATCCATCCTAGTCATGTATCGATCACGCCACGCTTTCAGCCTTTCACGCTTTGGGTTTGCGGTAGCACGTATGTCGTCATTTTCAGGTCAGCGTGAATGCCGGAGCAGGCGTCTTGTTCGGTTAAAAAGTCAACAGCATAATACAGGAAACATTTTGTCAAGTTAATGTATGAAGTGCGTAATCGCTTCTTGCCACAATGTGCCACTTATCACTTTTGATGTGTACATGCATATACTGATACATGTATATTATACTTCAACCAGTGACGGGCACTAGGGGCTGGTGGGAAGCCTTTGAGTGATAGCTGAATAACTGTGTAACAAAGATGTAACAATAACTTTTCAATCATGAAAGCATCGGTAGGCTATAAATCCAGCTATACATTACATGAAATTTAAAGCAGAAAATTTTCAAGAACTAAGGTTTTCAAGAACAAAGGGTGACTGTATGTTAGCAACCTAAATTTTCCCTCCCTCCAAAATATCGCGACGTGTCCGCCCACTGACTTCAACAGACAGGGTTTCACCTTTTTTTTGGGGGGAGGGAGGGGGAGGGTGTCATTTGTTCTGGGAACGACTTTCCTCTAATGTTTGCGATGTCTCATTCCAGGAGTGAATTTTGAGCTACGCTACAATACGAAAGAAATAATTTTTATATCCAAATTTGTTGGAAATCAACCACCAATGGTGTATGAGTTATTACATAATTGAAAAGTAATTGAAGTTTTGAATACTTTCGACCACAATTCCTGCATTTTCTTATAGGTATTCGTGGGGAAATATAACATCTAAATTGACTATAGTTTCTCACTATTCTTTCAGTCAGTGTGGATACCAAAGACAGAAGACAGTTCTAGAGGCGTCTGGGAGCATGCTCCCCTGGGAAAATGTTGAAATCTAGAGTCCCTGAAATGTAATTTCCAGCATTCCAGGGAAATTATATAGAATCCCGAAGCTTGTGAAGTTCATGAAACACATGATTTTTCATGACTATACGTCAATAAAAACTTCACTTTTCTTTTTATTGAAAATCTGGTAAACGTCAAGCTCGTTCTACACCAGAACGTTATTAGACTCGGGCATTATGCGCGTTTCGCGATATGTCTATGAACAATTATTTTGCACCCATTTGTTCATCTCTCAGTTTCCACATGTTGCATGCACAAAATGATTATTTGTTTTGGATCAAAACTGGACCGACAATAGAATACCATAAACGTTTCTGGACCAACTTTTAAGACTGGTGGACTTCGCCATGCTTACCCATGCATCTACAAGTTTAATTTTATATAATGGATTTTGTTCGGTTTTTTAGACACCAATTTTTCTATTGTCCCTGTATCCGAGTCTGATAACTCTCAACAAATATCCAACAGTGGGATTGATGTTGCAGGTAATATTAAGAAGATAAAACAAGAAGTTGTTGGGGAGGAAACAGGAACAGCTATTCAGACTCAAGGATTACAACAGCTTGCTTCTGTGGCAGAACAGACACTTGTGGACAAAACCAAAACGGTAGAAAAAGCAAAGTCGCAGGCGGAAAATGAAAATGAACTAAGTGAATCTGATGCCGGACGTACTGGTAGTGCAGAACAAACTTTAAACCATGTGATTGTTGTTGCGAATGAAATTGAGCAAACAAAACAAGTTGTGGTCCATGAAATGGCTGTTACAGAGACACTGTCAGAAAGCGTGCAAAAGTGCCCCGCTTCACCTGAGAAGACGATTGCTGATGATCAAAGTAGTATTGGGAACGGTGATAAAGGTGGTAAAACAGGCAGCATGGATGTTGATAGTACAGTACATGTACCTAATAAAGGTTTAATACCAAGTAACCCTGATTCCCCCCGTCATGATGCAGATGTTAGCGATGTGCCTCAATTTGAGAGCTCTGCACAAATATCCAACAGTGTAAATGATGTGGCAAGTAATATTGCGGAGGTAAAACAACAAGTTGTTGTGGGAGAAACAGAAACGGCTGTTGCGGAGACAATTGGTCAAGCACACCAACAGCTCACTGCTGTGTCAAAGAAGACGTCTGTGAACGAAAACAAAACGGCTGAAGAAGCAACGTGGCAGGCAGGAAATGGAAATGGAGTGATTGTATCTGACACTGGACATACTATTTCTGGTAGTCCTGAACAAATTTCAGACGATCTGATTTTTGTCGCGAATGAATTTGGGGAAATAAAACAAGTTCTCGTGCAAGAAACGGCTACTACAGAGATACTGACAGAAAACGCACAACAGCCATCTACTTCACAAGAAGAGATGATTGTTGACGATCAGAATAGTTTGGGCGACAGTAATGAAGGCGGTGAAACACGCAGCACGGATGTTGATAGCACAGTACAGGTACCCAATAAAGGTTTAATACCAATTAGTACCTTGGATTTTCCTCGTCATGACGAGAATGCCGGTGGAAGAAATTCTGACGAACTTAGTGACATAAATCAGGGCAATGATGATTGTGCTGGCAAATTTACAAATAATTCTGACCCTGGTATTGAAGAAGGTAAAAATGATCTAACAGAAATACATTTCTTGAAAGAGTTAAATGAATATTTGGAAAAATTTGATGAATTCTTCGATGACTTGCAAACGGGTAGGACCGGAAACGTTAGCAATGAACAACATACAAAGGAATTTGTACAGCGATCAGGGGAGACGAAAAAGGGCGTGAAGACGGAGAGCGAGAAAAGAGGCGGCAATGCTGAACTAAAGATAGAAAATGAAGTATTGAGCAACAATCCTGACATTTTTTATGCAAGTGGCAAAAGAAGTGAAGCTGGTGAAAATGTTGGAGATGGCTTAAGGTCGAAAACGTCAGAAAATGACGAAAGAGATGCAATGCAAGGGGACCCAAATAGAAATTCAAGTAAAAAGGTCGATGAGGCAAGTAAAAAAGCCGATGAGGATAGATCCCAGAGAATCAATATATTAAACAAGCAAGGTGAAAGTAACAAAGGTCACCAATCTGGCCATGGAAGAACCACTAGATCAACTGCTGATAGCAAAGACAAAACTTCAAAAGAAGGAAGAAGTAATCAGGTATGTTCGATTGCAAATGTCTTGGAACTGAAATATTTTTACGCGAACTAACACATTCGAACACGCTGAGTTTAAATCCGAAAAGTTCCCGCTCCGTAGACCGGCAGTTTTCTCACAAACCGCTATTTTATCTTCACTAATTTCACGACAGTTTTTTTCATTGTTCAACGACGCGGTCACACGGATCAATGACGACAAGCGATTATGTCACTCAAAAGGACCAATTTGTATTAACAAGTCTTCCTTTTAACAAAAGACCGTTTTGCTCGAATCATTTTGAGTTATGTCTTGATATGCGTGTTGGACGTAAACAACATATTGTCTACAACTTTGAGAAGGCAGGGACGTCGCTATAGGGTGTGTGTGGGAGGGGTAACACGCAAATAATTCAAACGTTGGTCAAAGTTGGTCAAAATGGAACTGATATTTGCCCAAAGTTGGTCAAGGTAAAACTCGGGATAAAAGATGGTCGAAGTTGCTCAAAGTTATGAAATGGTTCGCAATTTTAAAGCTTTTGTTTTGTTTGCGGTGAAAAATTGGAAGCCTTGCTTATCTTGGTCGAAAAATTTTGAATATGCTTATGTTAGTCCGGAAAA